AGGTACCCTGAGCCGAGAGACCAAAGCAATGTCTCCCAGGAGTAATGTAGGAACCTGATTAGGAAACCTTGGGGTTCCTTTTATGGGAGTTTCCGGAAATTGGGGGTACCTTATTCTGGGGTCCCTAAAGAAAGGATCCTACTATTTTGGGTATCAGGGTCCCCTATTTTTGGAAACTCCCATATGAGCCCTACTATTTTGGGGTTATAGGCCCAGGTATCTTAAGCAGGTTCCTACATTCGGGGTTTAAGACTACTACACTATAGAATCGTATGATTGATCCCTTATAAAAGCCTTTAAGGAACCCATAGAAGCCCTCAAGGAACCCATAGAAGCCTTTAAGAAACCCATAGAACCCTTTAAGGAACCCATAGAAGCCTTTAAAGAACCCATAGAAGCCTATAAGGAACCCATAGAACCCTTTAAGGAACCCTTAACGAAAGCCTTTAAGGAACCCATAGAAGCCTTTAAGGAACCCATAGAAGCCTGTAAGGAACCCATAGAAGCCTTCAAAGAACCCATAGAAGCCTTTAAGGAACCCATAGAAGCCTTTAAGGAACCCATAGAAGCCTTTAAGGAACCCATAGAAGCCTTTAAGGAACCCGCAGGACCCTTTAAGGAACCCATAGAACCCTTTAAGGAACCCATAGAACCCTTTAAGGAACCCATAGAAGCCTTTAAGGGACCCATAGAACCCTTTAGGGAACCCTTAACGAAAGCCTTTAAGGAACCCTTAACGGAACCCTTTAAGGAACCCATAGAACCCTTTAAGGAACCCTTAACGGAACCACTTTTTATGCGTCTCAGAGCGGGGCTGCGCTTTCCAACCTTCTGCTCGTCTAGCGCCTGCGCCGTTTCACCCGGGTTCCACCTAAAAGCCCAAACTCTAGACATCTAAGGACTCACATAATTGAAGGGATCTATAGGCATTCAATAAGGGTAATAGGGTTCAGGGATGGGGTTTATAGCACTAGGGATCCAAGGACTCATATGATAAGGCTTTTTGGGCCCAAGGACCATACTATGTAAGGCTTTTGGGCTATTTTGATGCCCAGGTAAAGCCTAAACGGCCTAACTAAACCGCAAAACTCCCAAAGCCTAAACCCTAAACCTCTACAAACCCCTAAGCCCTAAGAGGTGTTCCAGGGTGCTCCTCGGGGCTTTAGGAGCTCTTGGAGCTTTCGGATACGTTTTGTGCAACTGGGGGGGGGGGGGGTCGGGGTGTCAAAGGGAAAAGGAGGGACCCTAAATGGGGACCCCTACCCTATAATGGGCTATAAAATGGGTATATAATAGCTATATTAAGGGTATATACCTAGGGGTCCTTATTAAGGGTCCCTCCGTTTACCCTTGGAGTGTGGGCTGCAAGCTTGTTTCGGGGTATAGCAAATGTAGGGTTGGATGCCTAAGGGCCAATGTCATGGTGTGTTGACCTAGGCGACAACACTTATAATAACACACACGAAAACTCCAGGGTATCTTCTTTGGATTGAATGTTGTGGGGCCATTGTCGGGGCTCTCGAAACCAAGCACTTAAGGATCTTGTTCGGTTTTTCGAAGCAACGCCCAAGACCCCGAACTCCGTGGCAGCTGTGACGCTGCCGTGTTAAGGACATCGCTGCAAGTTGCCACAACAGCGACCACATCTCACTTATCGTATATCCAGCTCCTCGACAAACGCCCAAAATCACGGCCTGCGTCGCCTGAGCCGCCTAGCACAAAGAGTTTCGGCTTTAGGGTTTAGATCACGGCTTCGGGCTTGTTCGATGTCGAAACTTCACCTTACCTTAGCGCCTTAAAGTCCTAAGCCATAAATCCTTCAGAAACTCCTAGACCCCGCCACTACACCCTATTACACCCCAAATACCAATATTCAGGACAATAAGAGCTCTACTAAAGGGCCCTTGGGGGGTCCTGGCGGAGGGCCGCGTCTGCAAGGACCCTTTCAATAAGAAATTGGGATATCTAGGTTCGACCTGAGGGTCTGGATATCAACAACCCCGAATACAGGTAGGTTCATGGGTGGTTAGAAGCAGGGTGTATAACCTAGATTAGGTGACTTATAACCCCCGTATAACTACCCATGAACCTCCAAGCAGGGTTTTGGGGCATACTGTAGCATAATCACAAGCAGCAGTCGCCAAGAATGATACTGGTCGCGACCAGGGATTACGAGCGGGTCAGTAAGCGAATATGGGAGTTCCAGAGAAAGCGGAGCCTAATATGGACCTTCAACGACGGGATCCTAGAACGATTCCACGTTGGATTTTTAGGTTTGGGTTGGGGGTTTCAGGAGTGCTGGGCTTGGGGTCTAAGTCGTGAGCTTAATTACGGGCTGGCAGGATCTGGTGCTGCATCCTATAATGTCTGCCATGTCCTAGCCAGGAGCACTAGAAAAAGGATGGCAAGCATGAATGCTCACCAGCGCAGTGGCGCTAGATCTGCAATCGTATTCCGCAAGCAGAAACAACTGAGGGACCAACCCTCAGGTACTCAAACCGACAGTTTTATTTCTGCATACGTTCTTCCACGCGAAACGTTTCCCTGGCTTAGGTTCATGGCTCGCATAGACCTCAGGTATTATAGGGGCCTCAATTTAGAATAGGGTTTTGGAGCCCAGTATACAAGAGTTATAATAAGGAACCCCAAAAATAGTATTGGTAACTTCTTAGCCCCCGATAGTTTGGGGCCCAATATACTATATATATATATATATATATATATATATATATGTATGAATGTAATCATAGTAAGGAACCCCGACAATAGGGTTGGGCCCCCTATAGTAGGGTGCTGTTGAGTTACAGTCCGTTCTAGTTAGGGTCCTTCTCGTAGTGCACCCTATGCCAGCCCCCGGAGAGCCGGAGAGGACCAATCCCAAGATCCAAAAGCCCGTCAAACATACATATATATATATATGTATGTATGTATACGGACTTTATGTATGTATTTATATACATGCAATACGTATGTGGCAGTATATATATATATGTATATGTATATCTACAGAGAGACTTGTCCCTAGAAGGTAACAAGGACGCTTACCATGCCAAAACATCGGACGCCACAGCCCCCTTTGAAAAACCTCAGTAAAACCAATAAAAGAGCTTAACCACGCATAAAAGAGGGGACCCTCAACAAATGGATGTCCTGATGAAGCCCTGGCGACGCCCCCTACGCATTGCAAAAGCCTATAACACCCATGAGTTTTCGCTTGCAATACCCGGTGAACTGCTATAACGGCGCTACGAAAGCCCGTAAACACCCTCTTACTTACCGGAAAAACCCGAAACAGCCTTCATTAAGGCTGAAACTCCATAGACTTCCTACACCCTAAACCCCTGAACCCTAGAAGCCCAAGCCCTAAGCCGTTCCCAGAGACTCCAACATCCCCAAATTAAGGAATATCCCTTCATTACGGTAGGAACCTTAATATGATTTTTAAGGTGCGTTTTGGAGTCTCTGGGTAGCTTTTGAGAACACAAAAATGGCGCCGGACCTCGCTGCCGAAGGCGGCTGGCCAGATCTTTTCCCGAACCTCTTCGTCCAGGCGCGAAGCCTTGTAGGGCAGTTATTATCGAAAAAGCATATGTAGGGTCCAGGGTTTAGGATTGGGGTTTGGGGTTGAGGTTTAAGGTTTAGGGTTTAGGACTAAGGTTTACGGTTAGGGTTTAGGATTAAGGTTTAGGATTAGGGTTTATGATTAGGGTTTAGGATTACAATCAGCCAAGCATAGTTAATTACAATCCAGTAACAACAATCAACTAATCATAGTAGCAACAGTCATTAAGAATAGTGATAGTAGCAGTAATTAACAATAACAGTCATAATACTTCACCGCAACTATAATATGAGTCGTACCAATAAACGAAAAAGTGTTGAAGCTTTAGGAAATTGAGGAATCAGGAAATGCCAACTCTCAATGCCGAACCCTCAACCCTAAACCCACAAATCCTGATAAACACACCAAGCCCCAAATCCCAAACCTTAAACCCAAGGCCAGAAAAATCCCGAACCGGCGATACCCCTAAGGCTAGGGATGCCCGTGAAGGCATGGCAGATCTCTTCGCGGGTTAGAGTTTAGGACTTCTGACTCGGGTTTTGCGGTTCACTCACTGGCCCAAAACCCAAGGAAGTAAAAGTTGAAACTTTCAGAATCGACTACCTTATAAGAACCCCAAAATTGAAAAGTTGAGTTTACAGCCAATAAGTTCATAGTGCAAGGGCCGAAGGCTTTGAACGCGGTGTTTTCGGTTAGAGGTGTCACTATAGGGGCCTTAATAATTAGACTAGGGTGTTTGGGCCCACTATACTTTACTTATATTAAGGAACCGCCAAAATAGTATTGGTAATTAATTCGGCCCTGGTATTACTAGTACCGGTCAGAGCTTCTGTGACACAACCGCTCTGCAGAAACTCTGCACCATCTCTGCGCGCGACGTCTCTTTTGGTCTTTCCCTGCAGTACGGCGGTCTGCAACCCAAAAAGATGCTTCCGAAAAAAAGGGGGGGTGCCTTAGCATGCAGTAGATATTTCCTGCTAGGGTTCAGGGGATAGGCATACTGGAACCCACTGCCGTGGCTTTGCTGCAACACAGTGGTTGCTGCTTAAGAGGATGCAAAACTAAATCTGAAAGAACTTTACCAGAACGGTGAAGTTTAGCATTTGTGGATAGCTCTGAAGGGAGCTGCAGTTTAGAACAACCCCCCCACTTGGTGCAGGTTGCTGGTTCCCCCGAAGTCCTGGCGCCTGCACTCAACCCGGCCGTGCACCCGAAAGTGCGACTGTACCGAGCCGGTGCAAGGCTGGGATGGGGAAACGCAGCTGCGTTCCAGGTGAGGAATGTAAGGGTGCCGGAAAATTCTGAATTCTAGGAGACTCTCGGGCGCGTCGTGCATCTTGTGATTATGTGTTATAGGGATGTGGTACTTCTGGCTCGCTCTCGTGTCGATGACGAAATATTAAAGCAGTCTGATACAAAACGCACCCTCTAGCTGCCCTCAAGGGACCTCTCGCTCATGTGCAAGCTGCTCATGGAAGGATGCACCACCACCGCCACCGCCACCCCCTCGCCGGTCTTCGGGCCGAGCATGGTTGGGGACCTCCGCCTCCATGAGGTCCTCAAGTAGCTCAACTGGAGAAGCTGAGCTGCCCTGAGTCTCCAGAGCTAAGATTTCCTAGGCTGTTCAGTGACCCACTGGGAACAAGTATATACTTTTTTAGGCTTCTTATATTATAATATATAGGAACCCAGAAACCTGAAAGTAAGAAAGTGTACCATTGAACAGCCTGGTTTCTGGGCTCAGATCGAAGATCTCCCGCTCCACGAAGTCAAGCCGACGATTCTCTGCCACATCCGTCAACCTGCGGCAAGCTTCTGCAAAGATCTCATTCGCGGGCTCCAAGAAGACGACACGATCTCCTGGGACGACTATAGTATACTAGACTTACTAGTTGCTATGATGCACTACTAGAATATACTGCCATATACTAACATATACAGGCTTGGAGAGACTATAATACACTATACTAGGCGGTATAGTCTCCTGGGAACACCACTGTTGTGCATCGCTCCGGGATTTCCCACGCTCCCACTACCGGCCGGTCTGGCAGGGCCTTGCCGTGGATCACTGCCACTGGGCTGACCCGGTAGGTGTGACGCATGTTCCTGGGTTCTTGTGAAGGGATGTAATTTCAGTTACCACAATAAGGAACCTAATTATCTACTATAGATCCCTACAACCGTAGCTTAAAACTAACTTCCTTAACAACAATCCAGATTCATAAAGCGCAGCCTCAAAAGAACTGGAGGAAAAGGCTGAACCAGGAACCAGTGCCAAAGCCTTCTCGGCTGCTGCGCGAGGAAGTCGAGGATGCTATTCGCCTGCTCTATGGCGCAGATCGCCGCAGGGGAAGCATCCTCGGCAGGATATTCATAACAACACACAGGAAGCCAGTCAAGCTCTGCTTTGTGGTTCGTGCTATAAACCTGCATGAACTCGTCGAGCTTCGGGTCAACGATGTTCACAAACCCAGCTTCACCGGCTGCGTCACTACTTGTGTACATGTCGTGGAAGGCGTTGAGCAGTTGCGCCTTGCAGCTGTGCGTCGGGTCTACTGGCACGGGAGATTTCAGAATCGGCAGGATCCAGCACTCATCACCGGGTAGAACCTTCTGTGTGGGGCCCGGGTAATGTACCACATTCAAGGTGACATGCTCCGGGTTTCTCTGCAGAATCCGAACCACCTTGACATGATACACTCTCGGCAACTCCATCGCCAGAAGGGTTCCTTTCTGTTTCTTCGTTTTCCGCTCCGAGGCTGTGAACTTCAAAGTGGGAATACAAACTTGGCCTGCCTCAGGCCTTAGCACTTCTAGCAAGGGCTCCCATGACTGTCCCTTGTCCCTCACCCCGTCCACGCAGTGCTGAATTCTCGGTCGCAGGGCTGGATTAAGATCATCTAGGGCAACTTCAGGCTGCACTTGCTGCAAGGGCAGGCCGGCTGGAGCCTGATCCATGGCCAAGTTCGCAGCAAACCGAGCTCTGAATACGATAACGGGTAGAATAACGCTTCAGATTACAACAGCAAGCACGATGAAGACCACAATCATAATGGTAGACTCATGTTCCGAAAGGTTTGAGCCCTTGAGCTTTGAAGACAGTATTGCGATTTCTGGCGTGAGCACACCGACGCAGCAAACAAGATGGGAATTTCCGAAAATTAGGGGAACCTTAATTTGGTGTCCTTATAGTAAGGATCCTACTATTTAGGGTACTATATTAGGGTCCCCTACTTTCGGAAACGCAAAAACCCTAAACCCTTATAGAGCCCTTTAAAGGAACCCTATAGTACTCTTGTAGTAACCCTTATAGTGAACCCTATATTAGGGTCCCCTATTTTCGGAAATGCCCAGATAGACCCCCAAGCCGCAATGCCAAAACCAGTGGCCTCCAATGCTTTGCAAGAGCTTCTACCATAGGGCCCCAAAGAGGTTCCTTTTTGGGGTTCATATTTAGAATCCGAAAAGGTAATCCCAAAAAGGAACTACTATGGGGCCCATGGGTAGGCTGAAGACAGATGTCAGATAGGGGCCGTAAGGCTCCTATAAAGACTACTGACAAGGAACTATAAGTGGGTTCCTTTAAGGGTTCCTATAGGGGCCGTAGTAATTGGAATAAGGTTCTGGGGCGAGATTATAGTGGAATTAAAATCAGGAACCCCGAAGAATAATATTGATAACTACCCCAGCTTCTATATTACATGCTATTCCGTGGGATTTTAGAGGGGTTGCAGGGACTGAAATGGGCACAGGGTTTTGACCTAGGCGTAAGTCGATCCTCCATCCCAGCAGTGCCTGAAATGGGATTGTGTTAGCAGTACATCTGCAACTTACCTGCCCAGTATCCTAGGGGAACTAAAGGTTGACATTTGGGATCATAATGTAGGCGAGTTAGTACTCTTCTACTATGACAGGGGTCGATCGGCCTCGATTGCCGCACTTTGTCTGTAGGCATGCAGGGACATGCAGGGACAATGTGCACATGTCCATGCTACCAAGCCATCCAATGCACTGATCCCTGCACAAACAATGATAACGGACATGCTATCAACCATTCCATTGGCGAGTGCATCCATGCCCCAAACCATGATAGCGTCCATGTTACCAACCCATCCGTTGGTCAGCGCATCTATGCCCAAATCGCGTGATAACATCCATGCTGCCAGCCCGTCCATTGGCCAGTGCATCCATGCCCAGACCAAGATAGCGTCCATGCTACCAACCCATCCATTGGCCAGCGCAACCTATCCCTTGGCCAGTGTATCCATCCCCAAACGAGGGTAACGTCCATGCTATCAGCCCATCCATTGGCCAGTGCATCCATGCCCAAGCCATGATGACGTCCGTGCTGCTGCATCCTCCAACCCGTCCTGCAGAAACAGACCACTGTGAGATTCAGCAGAATTTTCCACGTAGAAAAACAGTGTTGTGTCATTTTTTGGGTTCTGCTGCACACATCATGGTAACGGGGACGCCATCTTAAAGCATGCTAAGTATCAGCCCTGCCGTGCTCATCCAGCGCGTCGTTGTGTGCATAGAAGATACCGGCCGTATAGTCAGATATCACACACACACACACCCCACGATTTAGGGATTAATGTTTAGGGTTTGGTTTCGGCGTAACACTCTATACCTTGCAATCCTCAACCCCAAACTTTCTCTTGGGCAGGGAAGCATGCTGAAGCTGATGCAAGGAGTAATCAATATTCTGTGTGAGCCGTAACGCCTAAAGCCCCAAACACAAAAATCTCAAGCCCTGACACGCGGAACCCAGGGCCCCGCACCCAAACCCGACAAAACCCTGCACAACCTGCTGCAAGTTTTATAAAAAAAAACACGACAACCAACACGAAACCCCAACTCACAAACCCCACTAAACGATATCAGACCCTATAGCCGTATATGTAGGGTGCTTAATCATTTTAGTAGGGTTTTGCGGCATATTCTACTGTAGGTATAAAAAAGAACCCCCCAGCATAGTATTGGTAGTTATGAAAGCCCCGATATTATATGAACCCCCCCCAAACCCTAAACCCTAACCCCCTAAACCCCAAACCCTAAACTCTGAGCATCCCTAGGGCTGGGCCCCCTGCCGCTTCGAGGATGTTGTTCGCTTTTTCACTGAGCTCCTGCGGAAGTCAGCTTGGGTCTGGGAGAAAGGGCTCGACGTTCGGGGTCTTAATAATTAGAATGGTGTGCCTTTTTAAAGAGTACTGTACGGGCTCCTTTAAGGGTCCTATAAGGGATCTATATAGGGGTCTCAATAATTAGAATAGGGTTGTAGGGCCCATTATACTATAATTATGATACGGAACCCCCAAAATCGTTTTGGTAAATATTGAGGCCCCTATAGTATGCTAGAAGCTGCTACAACATATTGCAGTATACGAGAACTTCTACAAATACTGTAATAGACTATCAAGTACTATACAATGTAGAGAACGTGATCTCTACGATATACTACAATTTATATACTATGATCTACTATACCTACACAATTGTACCATCCTGTACGGGAATGTATTTTAAGAACTGGCTCTGGAAGGGTTTTGGTTTTGGGTCTGGGTTTGTTTGTATATGGGCACTTTAAGGGTATGTTAAAATTCCTCAAGCGTTCTATGACGGTTTTATACATGGGCTAAGGGTTCGATAAGGGCTCTACATTATTCCTCTACTGAAGCGAATCCCTGGGAGTTATATATCTTGTTCCATTACCATAGTCTTTTTTCGTATTCATTGTATGTTATTTTCTTCTTGTACTATATCGTCTATTCTTATTGATGCTAAAGCACCAAAAAGGCAGTCAAGACTCAAAAAGGCCTTATCTCTGCTTCGCTTCCAAGGCCGCACGGGCCCAAACACCACAGGCCCGCAGAGGTTTCACGTGAAACTTCCCCTGAGCTACCGAAACCTACTTTTCTGTGGGGTTCCTATAAACTCTATACTACTCGGAGGTTGCTGGGTGAGTATAAGTAGGGCTATAAGTAGGGTAACTGTAAGAAAATTCATATTCAGGGACTTATAAACCCACTGATAGCTCCCCACGAACCTCCAAGTAGGGTTTACAGTCAGAACCTACTGGGAAGCAGGTTCTGGTAGTTTATTTATATAAGTAAGCTACGGGCTTTGTTCATGATGTCCGCTTTTTGTTGCTGGCCCGGAGAGACGGGGTTCAGTAATAACGCGTCTAAAACGCATTGCGTCCTAAAGAAGCCAAGCACAATGCACATGGGAGTTTCCGAAAATTGGGGTACCTTACTTTAGGGTCCTTATAATAAGGATCCTACTATTGGGGTGCTATATTAGGGTCCCCTATTTTCGGAAACACACACACACAAAGACAAACACTCATGTTCACAGTCCTCCATCCCCAAACCCAACAAGCCTATGAATCTGTCAAATCCAGTAAAATCTCGGCGGAGTCCTAGTCCTAGTATCCACAAAGTAAGGCCCACAAATATACACTCACCAGTTTTCCGATCAGGAGCCCTCTATAGACCCACCGGGTCCCGAGGACAAGACTTATTTCACAACCGAGAGATCTATAAAGACCCCCCCCGTTAAACACACCATAAAACCCTATCAGATTTCCACGAAGTTTACTAGACTACCGTAAGACTCTGGTAAAAGCTGCTGCGCTTTCCGCCCCATACAGGTAATTATAGCATAGCATGCCAGCCAAAACAAGCCTTGTCAAGCCCTCTGTATATTCAAACACTGAGACACGAAGCCCCGAAAACCACAACACTTTCATCAACACCTCTGAAAACCTCATAAGATCACTGCATTAGGATAAGCCCATTAAATTCTCTTAAACCATCATCAAGCAAGTAAAAGCACCTCCCCCCCCCCCCCCCCCTGCGCCCTCCGACCCTTCCCCCTCGGGCCTCGGCCACTTTAGCCTCGAGCATTGGATCCTTCTCGGACGCTCTGGCCTGACCGAGCGTAGGGTTTGGGGTTTTTCGGGTTTTGGGCTTGGAGCGCATAGGTTTTCATAACAAACATACAACCTACTTGTTCTCAAAGCCTATGAGCCAGGGTTTTAGACAGCACCCCTTTTCACTTGTTGGTGGGATTCGGCCGTTCTTCAAGAACAACTTCAACCCCTGAGCCGTCTATAGGCGTAGGATGACGAATGTATTCGACTCCTATATGAACCTTCATTCCTTCCCCCCACACAAGAAGAAACTGCACTCTTCGATCTGCAAAGAGTTGGCCTTCTCCATGTCCATGCCGATGAGTTCGTCCAACATCAGCTCCTGCTTCGTTGCTTGTCTTTGAAGCGACGCCTTTTCGTTCTATGCTTTTGCTTTCAATAAAGTCTTTGGCTTTCAACACATGCACGTTACACACCCAGGGCCGCACAACCGCAACAAACTTCTGGATCTAAAGTCCTAGACCTGAATGTGAGAAACGAGAAAGACGGCGGGAACTCAACAACTATGGCTGAAAGCTGGGGCACTGATGAGGTTTGGTGCTAGAGGTTTTCCGTACAAGGTCCTATATAGCGTTTTGCATGATCTATGGAGTTCTAAAATACGGGTAGTGTGTTTGTGCAGGCTGCAGGTTTACGGTTTACATGCGGGTTTACGGGTTGTTGCAGACTACCCCCGGCTTCAATGCCCAAACCAGGAAGAAGAAGACTAAGGAATAATAATAGCAATAATGATAACAGCAATAACACCGTTAATGATGGTAATAGCAAAAAAGAAAACTAACCGTAGACACAACGATCAACAAATGACATTAAGAACATTCGCAAACATATAAAGATAAATAGCAACAAAACACAAGCGGCAGGACCTCTTCACGACCACACGCGAGACGGATTCGAAGTGCCGCTCTCAAACAATATGCTGCGATAGGGTTCGAAAGGTCGTTGTAGGATTTCGGGCCTGGAGTTTTCGGCGTTTAGGGTTTCAGGGTTTACAGTTTATGGTTTTAGGATTCTAGTTAGG